TTACACATGAATAGTGTTTACTCAGTGCTTGGTAAAGTTTTGTCTCTTTAAATTTTGAATTAGTTGCCAGTACCAAGCTGGTGCATTCTAAGCAATAACTTTCCATCAACTGATCCAACGGCATTCTTTCTCCCTTTTGAAAATCATGGCTGATTAAAAGTCTAATGCAACAGCTGTTAGTGATCATGTGATTGATATGTTTTTAAAGACAGATGTTGACTATTAAAAGCAGAGCTGTTCAAATTTCTCTGTAGTCTATGAATATTTTTGAATGGCTGCTGCTTTCTTTTCTCTTCTACTTTTTTCTTATTTTCCTTTTCTTTCCTTGTCTTAGCTTTCTTTTTTGTCTCCTTTTTGCTCTTGAGTAAAACATAGTTTTAAGGAAGCCAGGTTATTTAGAAATACAGGCAATATGAAATTTCTTACATTCTCCAAAACAAGGGCTGAAGGAAAACTCATCTTTGATGATGAAAAGTTTGTACATTCTTACTTAAGAAATCATGAAAACATCTTTTAGCACAGACTGAATTGCACAGTTACAGTGGAATTCAGTAGAACTGGGAAGTTTCTAGATGGCCATAGTTGTCCTAGAATAGCATGTATATCTCAACTGAAAACCATATTTCTAAATAACTCTGGTTTTCATTGTTACAGATTTAATGCTCTTTCACAAATTACTTGTCATGTAAGGGATATTTTAAGAAGACATAACAAATGCATTGCACTTAACTCTCTTTGAACATTTAAAACCCTTGTACTTTAATGCCTTTCACACATTCCTTCTTAACTCCAGACCAGTGGATTCTATCCTGAAATCCTTGGGCCTGAATTTATGACAACATGGCGGTTTCTATTATGATGCTGATGATATCTCAGGAAATGATTCATCTGGCAGTATCCATAAGATGGAAAAAAATATTTTTGCTATGAAAAAAAGAGAAACAATATTACTTATAGAGAATTACAGCATTTTAGAACCACGAGGAGCTTGGGAAACCACTGCAGAAACAGTATTTAAAGCACTTGATATTAAATGTAAAGGCTTAGGAGTGAAAGGTGATTAATCAACATAAGCCACAGGGCCCTCAGAAGGATTCCAGTACAGCCAGCACATGTACCTCTGTGGTTGGAACCTTTTAGGTTATTCCAGTTTGGGTGGTCCTCTAAGATCCAGTACACGTCTACTGGTTACCCAGCAAGAATGGAAAAGCCATTAGCTAAGCCCCAATGAAATCACCATATAAGCTACAAGGCCCAGTTTCATGATAAATATTATGCATTTATATAGTACCTTTCAGCCTTGAATTATCTGGAGAAAGCCACAATATAATTCCCACTTTATACAGAGAAAGTGAAACAGCAATTTATCAAAGTGACTGAATAACTTAAGCTTTCTGTGAATAAAAATATACCATTGAAAAGCAAGTTATCAATTTAACTCAGCCCTTAAGAGACAATTCCTCAAAGGAAAATCAAGGATATACATATTCTGTGCAGGAACAAGAAAATCAGTACATCTTGTTTTTTTCCTCATCAGCATTCATAAGTTGTGTGTAATTCACATGGACTTCATGTCTCTGCTCATATCATTATTATCCTCAGCATCAAAATCAGTATTCAACCAGTCTGTGTGACTTTAGAGCTAGCTGTTTACAAAAAAAATCTCCACAACCTTTTTACATTTACTGGTTTTGTTTTGACATGTACAATGTTTGGCCTGGGACTAATAACTTCCTGTTGATCTGAAGATACAAAAAAAAGCAGTCATCATCAACAGCAACTATTTGCACCAACAAACATTGATTGAGTAGGACATCGCATCAGGTACTTTACCAAAGAATGAGCTCAGCATGGCATCTGATCAGGATTCAGACTTGGCAAGCACCTTTCTCCAACTTGGTCCATGAGGGTTACTTTACTTTTAGCATTAGTTAATTGGCATCAATTTCCTGACACTTTGTAATGAGAGTATGGCCCCCTAAAGCATGTTAGTGTGGAGATCAAATGCATAAGAATATGGTCTATATTTTAAAATCCTGATAAAGAGCAAGAACGTTTTACTTCTTTAAAATTTTAAATGAGCTTAGTTTAAATAGAGTCCTCAGCTGTAACACTTTGACCATAACTACTTATGCTCCTCTTCAAAAGCTCCTTTAACAAGGAAGTCAAGGAAGAATCCAAAGTACCTAACCCATATGCCTCATCTGAAAACACTCCATCATCAGCAGTCTTTAAAATCCCTCCTCAGCAAAAACTTTATTTACATTTGCTATGGTGTGAATGCTTGCCCTCTCCAAAACTAATGTTGAAATTTAATTGCCATTGTCAGTATTAATAGGTGGGACCTGAAGGAGTTTCCTAGGCTTTGAGGGGTCCAACCCCATGGGTGGAATGGTTTCATTACAAAAGGGTGAGCTCATTCCCCTCTTGTTCTATCTCTTGCCCTTTATTTGCCCTGTCCTTATTTTGTTATGTAAGAAAGAATGTTACTTCCCTCCAGAGGACACAGCTTTCAAGGTGCCATCTTGGAACCTTGAAACTGGGCCTTTCCCAGGCACCTGACTTGCTGCGGCCTTTATCTTTGAACTTTCCACCTTCCAGAACTATTAGAAATAAATTTTTGCTCCTTACAAATCACCCAGTTTCAGTTATTTTGTAATAACAGCACAAAGCCGACTAAGGCATATTAATAGGTTTATCTAAAATTTTTTTTAGGTTATGATTGCTATTGAACTACTGTAATTCAGGGTTTCTCAACTTGTCTAATATTGATATTTGGGGTAGATAATTCTTTGATATAGAGAGTTTCTCTGTGCATAGCTGGATGTTTAGCAGCACCCTTGGTCAGTAGTCACAAAATGCTTGGGTATATTCTCAAGCTGAGACAACAGAAAATAACTCCAGGCATTGCCAAATGTTCTCTGGGAGCAGATTTCCCCTGACTGCAATTCATTGGTCTAATATATAAATTTCTGGTTTCAGTGCTCAGTATTGATATCCTTTCTTAACACAGGTTATCAGATTTGTCAGAATGCTTCAAGACCACTGGTTTCCATGGACGTGGGGATTTCCAAAGTAAAGATATGACTGTAATTTCAATCCTTATGTCACTAATCCCCCACAGCAACTGTCCCTGCATTTCTTCATGGACAGATTGTTTTAGAGGTAGTCACTGGTTGGTTTTGGGTTAAAAGATTTAAGACTCAGTGTTTTAGTTGCCTTTTTAAAAAATTAGGACTGAATGCTAATGAAATATACAATAGCTTCAGAAGGTAGAAATGTTTGTTATTTAATGTTTATATATGCTAGAACCCTTTATAAACTGTGAATCTCAGAAAAAAAAACCACCAAAATATAAAGTTTTGATAAATTTAGGGAATTTTTATGAAGAAACAGAGATATCCTAGTATTTTATATAATAGAAAATACTTAAATTTCTGTAATTTATATGCAGTTTATGGTTTTTTATTGAAATATATCACTATATCTTATAGTATTAAAAGAAACGTTCCACCCCAATTCTTACCATTGCAATTAAGTAAAATATTAATAAGATTTTCCAATTTTCTCAAGTTTCATTCCATATTATGGTAAAATCCACTTAATGTTTGCCAGAATGAAACTTGTACACAAAGAGCTTTTTTGCTTTTTTGAAATTCCCCAACAACAGATGTATGTAAGCCTACAATAAAAAACAGCTCTTTGGGAAATCTGAATTCAAGCAGCTGCTTTGCTGGAAGCCAGTACTTTCTGGGCAGAATCTGAGAAATCTGGATTTTATTACTTAATGTAAAATTAATCTCAGTTTTTCCATCTGTAAAATGGTAAAAATATCTGCTTTGAAAATATTTAGAAAGAGTAATATGATCATTGCAATGTGTGAGTTATACTTTAAACTCTTTCAAAGAAAAACTCTAGCCATTTGTGTTGCTTTTATATTTATGTACATTGGGAGAATGCACATCTAACTCTACAGACTGTTCAGCATATCTGCTTGATAAATACATTTTCATTACATTTGAGTGAATTCAAAATAAAAAATGCTTATGTTGCTATAAGTTTGATCTAGTGTTAATATTGGCTAATGTGTGGGGTTTTTTGATGATGTTGTTGTCTCTGTAACTTCAGAGTAGAAGGAAAAGTTTGCATTTGTGTAATTTGAAAGGATAATCATGAATTTAGGTGTGGGTTATAGCCACGTGATATATCCACAATACCTGATCCGCTCACTTAGGATTGTTGGCGATTTTCCAATTGGTCCCAGCTAAAGTTTCTCTGTTGCCATTATGATGGCTGTATTCATTCTATTTAAGGAACAGTATAATTATATTCCAATTAGTATACAGATAGGTATCTCAAAACAATCACTTTGGGTTTCGGTGTGTAGATAGTAAATAAATGAATGAGAAGAAGGCAAATACCAGAAAGATAACCTTATGTATGTTTGAGAACACAATGGTGTCTATCATGGTGCCTGGATGCATACAATGGGAGCTTAGTGAATGCTTATTACATTATTTATCAATGTCGAAAGTGAATAATGGGTATTATAAAATTAAAAGAACAATAGAAATATAGCTAAGTAAGGGATTAGGTTAAGCTAAGGCACTGAACCTTGATTTTGATCTTTTTTCTGGGGTTCAGTCCTGACTCCAGCTTATAGTCTTTACTCTTGAGGTGTGATCATTTTTAAGTTTCAACCAAACGACTGAGATGCTCAGGAAGACTTATTCCCTTTTGATGGACCAAAAAACACCATGTCTCCCAGCCCTACAAGATTCTGATACCTCTATACAGCTTTCAGACCCCAGCAGTCACACTTTCTGTCCTAAGCCTGCAGAATCTTGCCTGCAATGTTTATTTGTGAATCATCTCTCAGTCATGAACCTCAGTCATGGGAATTCCATGAAGACGTCAAGAATCTTCCATTCTGTGTAGTTCTCCCCTTTATGATATCTTGTCTGACAAATGCCAGTTGTCACATAGCCCAAATTCCAACCTCAGCCTCTTTCACCACCATGGACTACTGCTCCCCGTTGATGCTCTACCTCCCTGTACCACAGTCTGGAAAGTTCCTCCAGGCAGAACCATGGTTGAGTCTGGGGTTCATTTAATGCATTTCCTTCTTCCTAGGATGACAGTCTTCTGCTTTATGTTGTCCAACTTCTTAAAGTGTCCTCTTGCATATTTTATTCTATTTTAAGACTGTTCTCTGTGGCAAGGAGTGGGTGAATGGGTAAGTCCAATAGCACTTACTCTACTATATCTGGAAGTAGAAATAGAAATGAATGCTGTTGATACCATGTGCCACTACAATTCTCATTTACCTGAAAATCTCAGTGCAGATTTATCTAGAAAATCTGCTTCTCTCTCCCTGCCTGAGTTGTGTGTTGGGGGGAACCTCACTGTCATCTATAAAATTAGAGTGAAGTTTAATTACTGCATCTTGATAATTAGCCACCACAGATATTTACATGTGAACATCTCTTCTTTGTTCCATTTCATTCAAGTTCATCTTTTCTTGTTTATCTGAAATAACTATCTATGGCCTTTCCACATAAAAATAGCAAGGACAAGGCATAAAAATGCAAATTAAAGAAAAGAAAGCCCTCACAAGAGACCTGGTTCTTCAAACACAAAATTATATAAATTCTTTATAAAACAAACAGAAGCAAAGCACACAGTTGTAGTAAAGTAGTTCACAGAGAATTCTGGTTTCTTCTTAAATTAACCTTTAAGATGACATCTTTATAATATTGGTAAAGGCAGCAGATGGTATGAGAATGATAAATTACTTTCAAAGATGTGTTCCAGAGTGAGTATTTAGTCAACTAACTAATTAGTCAATTAATTAATTAATGTACTTATTCTTTCATTCACAAGTTTAGCTTAAAAATAAACTCACTGTGCTGGGCTTAGTGGTGCATGCCTGTAATCCCAGGGGCTTGGGAGGCTGAGACAGGAGGATCAAAAGTTCAAAGCCTCCCTCAACATGAGGTGCTAAAGAACTCAGTGAAACCCTGTCTCTAAATAAAATATAAAATAGGGCTGGGGGATGTGGCTCAGTGCCCCTGAGTTCATCCTTAGTACATATATATATATGTATACTCACCACCATGGCAGGTGTAGATTAACTATACTATTGAAACTTGCAAGTCTATTTCAGATTTTAGGAAATCAGATCTCTCATTAGATCCCACATTAGGACTCATAAAAATGAAATGATCATCCACTAAATATAGCTTTTCTTCTTTATGGTGAATTGCTTCCACCCAAGGATTACTAACATACTTTGGATAAGGACATAAGGCTACTAAAGTGACTTAATTAATACATGTTTCTTGATCTGTTTCCCAGAATTGGAAATGGATTAGGGATTATGCATCCATACTTGTGTTTCAAGGAATCTTGATGAGTTTAAGGATTTAACCAGGGGTCATGGAACACAAAGCTTACTGGCTCTCACTGTAAGAAATGTATTTTTCTGGATCAAATAATTTGATTTAATTAGAAGCATAAGATAACCAAGTAAGGCATCTAGCCAAAGAGAGACACTACAATTGGCTTCTGCTAACATGAAAGGACTTTGAGGATAGAATCTTAACCTTCTAAGAATTCACAACTATAGGAGCCCAGATATTTAGTAATCATTAAACCAATGTGTTTCAGATTCAGAGGAGACTTAATATATCTCAGTTGTTAACTGAATGGTCTCTCCTTGCCAGATATATTCTGGGCTATGTATCAACTTTCCTACTGATAGAAAACATATTATTACCTAACAATTCATTACAGTTTATAGAAATTTAGTGGGGGAGGTGGGGACTGTTTTGTGGTAAGTTACATACATCAGAAGAAAAAGTATGGGTTTAGAGTTCAGAAAGTGCTGAGTTTCATTTAAACTCAACTTCTTAGTTTTCTCACCTGTCAAATGGACTCAAGAATGAGTTCTTCTTAATACTTTTGTATTATTTTTCAGAAGATTCAATGGTAAAGTCTCATTGCCTCTTCAACGTATGAGACAAACACTATACTCTTCAATAAGTAGTGAGGAAACTAAAGTTTAGAAGTCAGAAAAATTTATCAATGTCCAATGGGTAGCAAAAGACAGAACCAACCTCACTCTATATTACCCATGACCTCAACTCTTTAAAAAGAGCTTGTGGTGATGGGAACAAGATCCCCTTATGGACTAAGCCCCTCTGTGGTACTCAGACTGATTCATACCATGTATGGAAGGGGAGAGAAGCAGGACATTCAAAATTCTCATGTCAGCATCTTGTCTCCTAGGCCAACATCCTCATTACCAGAAGTCTGTGCACCAAATTTCTACATGTGCGGTAGTTAATGGTAATGTACGGGTGTCAGATAGCTGACTTCAAGTTCAAGATCCACCCTTCACTGAGTGGGCTGCTATGGAAGCTTATTTCACCTTCCTTTTTCATGATTTTAAATGGGGATGATAGTACTTAATTCATAGAGAGGTTGGACGGATTAAATTTGGTAATTCATGTGACTGGAAGAAATTGCAAAAGAGTATTTGATAGAAGCAAGCTATTCCTATCATTTCACTATCATAGGCACATAACAGGACAGGCTTTTATGACATACTGCCCAAACAGAAAGAATTCTTGCTAACACAGGTTTTGTAACAACAGGGTCTTTATAGTGATCCCCTTTCATGCAATATTATATGAGCTTTCTCCACCTTTGCTTGGTACCAGGAAGGCATAAGCCATTAGAGGTGCAATTCACACAAGAGGTATAATTTTGTTTACAAATATCTCTGGGATGAAGCTTATTTTAATTGATTTATACTATTTCCTAATTTTTTTTTAAAGAGAGAGGGAATATTTTTTTTTTTTTTGCAGATGGACACAACACAATGCTTTTATTTTTATTTTTTTTTAATGTAGTACTGAGAATCGAATCCAGGTCCCACCTGTGCTAGGTGAGCACTCTACTGTTGAGCCACAATCCCAGTCCATATACTCACTCTTTAGGTTATCTGATTGATCCGTGACTCTCTATACTAAAGGGGAAACACATTTTTTTGAATGATACTTGAGACCCTATCATGCATGTTATAGATGACTATGTTAATTTCAGCACATAATAATTCATAAGCGTGTTCATCTTAAATATATTATACTCATATTTTCATGTTCATCCAGAAAAACTAACAATTTATGATCACTGCCTGGAACATATGTCTCTAATAATAGTTCTTGCTGTGCCAATTTTCTTTTCTCTCTCTCTCTCTCTTTTTTTAACTTAAAGATACATGGGTTGCTGAGTAGCTTAGACATTCTAAGATTAAACTGATGAGATCAGGCAAGCCTAACTGCTTTGTTTTCTAGAAGTCAAACAGACTGCACATTTACAGGATATAAGTAGTTCACTTAGACAGTGAGGCACCACTGGGGAGACAAATGCTTATTAAGTCCATGGATTAGTGCGGGTGTAGCATGAGGAGCATGAGGAGCCCTGCTTCCAGGGCCCGGGCTTTCAGCTGGACCATTTGCACTTCACAGTTGGGGCTGTTTGACAGGCTCCAGGCTGACACAAAGGAGCCAGATCCAGGGCAGTGAACAAAACCCTAGAAGGAGTTTTGCTGATGTTTGCTTGTTGACAGTTTGTTGTGTATAGACTTAAAAAATAAATAAATTGCTCTTGTTTTACCAATTCTTTCAGACTGTTTAAGATCTGGATAAATTTTTTTAAAATGATTTCAATTTAAATAGGATACTAAAAATTTCCTGGCCAAAGTTTCCTTCTCCCTTATACTTAGATCGCAGACCTATAATAGCATTCTTTGGGTATCCTTTAAAAACAGACTACTCTTTTAAGACTTCCCCCCCCCCCAGCAGGTCTTTTTCTTCTTTTCTCTCTTCTTCTTTCATACTTCCTTTCACTTTGAAGCTTTTT